TCTTTCCCTGAGATGCTGGAAAAATGTGTGTCACTTAGCATAAATCTTGCAATACACTGTCATGCTCAGGCACAGCTCCTTCTGACACAAGGTTTTGTCTGAGCAACAACTGTTGAGCTGAGTCTCAAGGGATAAACTCCACTCTATCAAGTAAAATAAATGTGTTACAGGATTACAGAAAGATATTTTTTTCCATGCCGTTATGTATTAAATCCTTCAATGAACCTCTCAGGCTTTTTCTCATTCCTTCTCTTCTAGCAGGGATCTGGAGAACATCTTTCAGGAAAAAGTGAGAAGTCTGGAGAAAAGAGAACGGTTCTTCCCAGTAGTGACTATTACAAATCCATTCTTTTACCATGGCTACAGCAAAGAGAGTCTAAAAGACTGTTATATGGAAATTGCCATTGCTGCCTTTGTTGACAGCCCGTAAAGGAAGGACAATTTAAAGGTAAGAATTTCATATTAGGCTTTCTGCATTTGACTGAGGATGTCTGCATTATGTTGACCTTTCTACTTCCTTAATGATTTTCTAAGAGACAGCTGAAGCCAAGGGATTATGTCGGACAATTCAATGACAGGTTTTTATCCATCCATTTTTTCCACGCAGCTCGGAAAACAATAATGCTATTAGCAGCAACAGTATTTGGTTTGGGGATTAAGTCAACAAGGCAGTTTTAACTGCAAGAGCTTTAGATGGAGAAGTTAAAAAAGGATGTGAGCTTAAGCAATGAATTACACAAATGTCCTTTTTGTATAATTGGACTACGATGGTGAGAAGTTATTTCCTCCCAGCTCCACATGAGGAATTCCACGCTCTGCTCTAAACTATAATAGAATAAATGAGGAATGATTCCTTTGAATGGCTATAGTCATATCATCACCTTATAATGAGGATATGAAGGAGTCTACCGACTGGCAGGATCAGATCATAGTATCTTGTTTGATAGACCAGGTCTGATTTGATTTTGAAAAACTTTTATGTTTCTCTTCAAAGTTTCAATGTTGCTATTCTCTGGAATTCAAAAGGTTACAGAAATGTCATTCTTCCAAGTTCAATATTGCAAAAAGAAAAAGTAATATCTCTATCAGATATTACAGTAATTTTTACAACTTGTTGTTTGTTTGGTTTGGTGGGTTTTTTTAATTACTGTTTTCTTAACACAATTTAGCTTAAATAATGCATGCTGGAGGGACATCTGCAGGAAGCCAACCAAGTCTAATGTATTGGGTCTTTACTCTGTCTTATTAGGTATCTTGCACCTGGTGATGTGGAACTTATAATTTAATATTGTTCTCTACTTCACACCTAGCAGAAGGCCTGAGGACAAAGAGAGATATGTACTTCTCTAAAATTACGTCCAGGTAAAATTACAATTATATCATAAAAAGGAATCGGGCAAAACTGGCTGGAGAATAAGCTGTTTCTGCATAGCTAATTCTATTTAGAGACTGCCAAGCTTTTAAGTATAAGTACTATTCCAGCTGTCTTCTAAACAGAATAGCTCTTTGTTAACCATTGTAATGCTTTTTACACGTTGTGTCGATATGTAGCATTATTCATTTGCACCTTGCCGCTATTAATTAATAAAGCCTGATGTCCACCTCTTTTCATTCAATTATAATGTAGGAAGAACTTCTCATCATCCTTTAGAAAGAACTGCAAAACATTATCTCAATAATGACTCATTTAAATAAAACTTTACAGACTTACTGAGCAGCTTACAGCCAGCCAAGTTCACCCTGTTGAAAACTGAAGAGGATACAGGGATACAACAGGGATGAGGTAGCACATTCAAAATTATCACTTGGGGTCCTTGTATTTTACTTCAAATGTCAAACGGCAGCTCAGGACTACAGCATCTTTTGTGGCTCCGGTGCCTAGGGGAACTAAAAGGGGCTCTGCTTTCGCACTGGATGCATCAAGACTTGTTTGCTTCGCAATGCCTCAGCCCAGGGCACTCCAATCTCTAAGCCCTGCTTTATAGCATACACCAGCGTTCAGAGGACATGACACATCCGCCTGTCAGAAAAGCAGCACTGATTAAATAGCTCCTCCTTCTAAAGAAAATGAAAGAAATCTCCAATGCCTTTTTAACAGTCTGCGGCATTTTAGTAAAGGGACTAATAGATCAACATTTCCGTGAATGGCTTCTATAGCAAATCCTATTGCCCCTAACTTTGTCCAGCTTCTGACGCTTAAATCTTGCCAGCCTTTTGTGGTAATCAACTAAATCAGCTAAGGGTTCATGGAGAAAACAGATGATTTATTAGAGTTTTATTACCTTTCAAACTTGCATAGGACATTTGTGGAGTGTAATATGATAGAACAGATATTTAACTGCTTCCCCTAGTTCACCACTTCTTTTCTCCCTGGCAAATTAATTCATAGGGCTTATATAGAGTATTTTCTGCAGACTGAGAAATGTACAGCTGAGATTTCTCAGTAGGTCTTAGCACATACTGAGGAAATCGATAACTCTCCGAACCGCCACGCAGCCACTTGTGAAATGCTCTTTTTATGGCTATGCCACCTGTTATTCACCACAAAAATTAAATCTGTGTTTTGCTGTTTCAGAGTGGCACCAAGCTTTAGCAATGGTAAGATACATTAACTGTAAAGATACATAATGTCATGAACCTACATCAAATCGCGCTTGATGAGATATTCACAAGAGGTGTAGCAGCCACCCACTAGAATTAGAAAACTGATTCTAAAAATGGTGCTTTCCCACTCAATGTGAATTGTTCCTGGTTTATACTAACTTTGAGTAAAATTAGCCTTATTGATGAGATGACAGAGTTTCAGTGATCAGCCGCACAACGGTGTGGGATCGGCTCTACATATCCCCATTGCAATCGGCTAAAGGCAGGGATCTGCATAGCGTTAGAAATACAGCACAGGAGTTAAAACAGCGTTACGATTACGTGGTCACCTTGCTCTCAAACTCTTCTGCTTCTTTCAGCTCTCGAGGATACCCATCAATCAGAAATCCTTTCGTGTCCCCTAATTTGGAAACCATGGCTTCCTTCAGCAGCTCTAGGACAATCCCCTGCATTGGAAAGAAAGGCAGTTACTCGGTTAATTAATAAGAAAGACTGATATCGTTGTTATGCTGACTTTAGCCCTACGCCCTTGAGAACTGCCTTGTTTTCCTAAAAGCAGGTCCTGTGAAGGCAGGTGTTTTTCTTGTCCTGCAGGTAGCACCCTATTTTTAATTCTCTCAGGACCAGCTATACTACACAAATCTAGTGTTGCAACCCATCCAAAAGTTCCCAAAGTGTGTTCTAGATGGCTGGGAATATTTTGTACTTTCAAAATTAGCGTTACTACCTGTGAAACTTTGAAGTACTGCTGCAGCATTTTGCAATCTGATTGCATTTTGCTATGTCATTGATATAATTATATTACATGGAAAGTGGTAAGAGACCGCATCTCACCACACACACTGAAGAGCAAAGCAATAAACGTCAAGCCTCAGCACAGCCTTTAGTTTCCCCTGAGCAGCACTTCCCAGCACCTTTCATTAACAAACAAGTCCTATGGTCTAGCTGAACTTGCTGAAGACCCACCAAGTGCTGGGGCTGCAGAGCTGCCACGTAAAAGTCAAGTCCAGTTGAAAACAACAAACTCTGTCTTCCTAGTCTCCATTAAAGCGCAGTCCAGCTACTCTGGGCTGCGAGCCAGCTCTGCAGGGAACTGCCGCAGGTATTGTCAATTAGAATAGCTGCCAGGAGGACAAGCTCTGAATCTGAAATGTGAAGTTATAAAATAGACAGAAAGTTTCTGCTTCCTGTACTTAACTTGCAAGTTCTCCAGTGCATAATGCAGCACCTGTCTCGCTGTATTTCATGACTAATTTGTTGCCTATGTGAGTCTGAAATGTAAAGAAATACTGGCACAGAAAGGGGAAAGAAGTGCCACAGATCTGGCAATGAGGAAACTCCTCCCTCAAGTTGCAGATTAATTTTGTTTAAATGGGAGTTGTCAGCTCTAGTATGATGATTTCCACCCTTTTAGACAACCTACCTACCACTGCCTTCGTTTAACCATTAGGACCCCAAATAAAACTGTCACTTACGCCAGGCACAGGTTCACCACATTCCATGATGTCTTTGATCAATTTACTTCTCTCTGATAATGACGATAACTCATTTTGGAGAAGGTCACCAGTGGATAGGTGAGTAAATCCGTATTTCTTGGCTAGCTGCTCACACTGGCTACCTTTGCCAGAGCCAGGCCCACCTTTGTGAGGGAAAAATATCTAGAATTAGAAAGGAATAAAAATCTGCCTTTTCTCAAACTATAGCAACCAAGAAAAGGGGAAGAAAATGACGAGATTGCCTATTTTGCAACTTTGGTGGGTTTTTTTTTGCAAAGACGATCTAAACAGTAGAACAAGTCCTATACTTCTCTTCTGATACACTACACTACTGACCCAAAAACGTGTACCAAAGTTGAAGGAGTCAAAAAAATTGTGAAATCTCTTGCAGAAGAGAACCAGTTCCTAAAATACCATTACCACATAAAGGAAAAATGAAACAGTGGGGAAAGGTATTTGACTCAGTATGTGTTTGGCTTTAAAGCCGTAACAGATACTGGCAAAACAGTGTTCACTGCATCCTTGCAAGGCAAATATTTTGCCCACATTTATGGAAGAGAAAGGTATAGGCAAAGAGATGGTGAAACCTGCCTCTGTTATGTGGGGTGCATGTATGTTTACAGTAAGTAAAGCCCTTCGTGCTCTGGATAATGTAACAGTAAAATTCCATTGTGTTTGTGCTCATTTGAGGCAGAAAGCTCTCACGTGCCGGTGCGTCTGCTGGTATCTGAGAGCCAGGTACTGAAGCTGTTAAATGCTGGCAAAGGCTCGGCCATGCTGCTCCCAGGAGCTCTGGTACTGGCTCGCTGCTGCAGGGAAGCCTGAAAGTGAAGTGCTCAGCAAAGGGCACTTGGAGACCCTGTCGCCACCTGCTCCTCTGCACCCACAACTGTCCTCAGCTGGAAAACCCCCTCTGAAGCAGGCCCAGAGTCAAACAGCCAGAGGGGGAAAGGCAGTCTCAGCTGTCAAGGTGCTCAGGTGAAGCTGCTCAAGTGATTTTTTCCACAGGCTGAAGGGAAAGCACCTGTGGCTGGCCCCCAGCCCTCACAAGCTGCACCTGGGTGCTTGCACCCTCAGGGGCCTGCAGGGAGACAGAGAGGACGGGAGGGAAGGGCAGGGCAGGGCAGGGCAGGGCAGGGCAGTGCTTTAGGGGAATCCTGCCGGTGTCCTCCTGCCAGAAACAGCACCTTGAGCCTCCCTGCTTCTTCCGGCGGGAGAGCTGCCTCCAAGACTCCCAAAGCTCTGCCTCTCTTGGATACCTCTCTGGCAGGTGCCCTTTTCCTGGGGCCATCTCCGAGGCTCTGCATAGCTCCTTCAGGAGCTGGCCTTGCCCTGTCCCGTCCCCTCAATGTAGGTGGCTGCTTCTCTTTCCTTGCGCTGAAGGCCGACCTTTGGAAAGGCCAAACGCCTCTTCAGCTGCTTGCTGAGTGGCAACGGCCACCCCTACCCAGCTGGAGAGAAGAGCAGTCCATGGAAACTGCTGGAAAATACTTCTTGGGGATCCCGCTGCTGTGACTGGGACCTCCAGAGCCGCTGGTGGAGCTGAGGTGAGCACCCCGCGAGGGCTGAGCAGGGTGGGGAGGGCTGAGGGGCCATGTTGGCCATGGCGGTGGGGAGAGACCAGGAAAGCAAATTTCTTTCATGACAGTATCAGAGTGTGGGAGAAATTTCAAGGTGGGTAGCAGCATTTTTATGATGTTTGATGGATCTATTCAGAATACCTACTGCAGTAGGAGTTAATTATACCCTTGTAGGGAGACAGTGCTCAAAAATCAAAAGAAGAGGCAAGGCCAAGATAAAAATCCCACACCTCTTCAATAAAGTCTAAGCACGTGACTTGTGTATTTATCAACTGCTGGGACTTGCAAATATGAGTACGCAGCTCTATTATATGGATTTAAGAAGCTAGAAAACATGGGATTTCCTTTGTTTATCCTTGCTGGAGTAACATGTTCAGAATTGAGTGAATCTGGCACCATCTCGTCCTGACTTGAACTATCTTCCAACTTTCCAACTTAAGAAATAATTGTTCTGAGCATATAACTTTCAGAGAACTTAAAGTATTGTAGCTGAGAATAAAATATGAATCATAAGGGAGTAGCATCAAAGGAATGATTTTGTCTCCTGGAACCTGCAATCTTTTAGCTGAGCTTCACAGAGACACATCAGCTCATGGTGCAAGAATCACACTTGGGCTACAATTTGAGCTAGAAATATCATTGTCAGAGTTTCATTTTCTTGCCAATGTGGCTTGCATATTGTTTTTCTATTGCTTTTATAAGAAGAATATTATTCTTCTGCAGAAGCACTGTTTGAAAGAAACAAGGAAGAAATAAGAGTGGCTGTGGAGAAATAGATGCAGAGAAATTTACAGGCAAATTGTCTGTATTGAGACTGTCAAATATCTATAGTGGCAGTTAATTTCATTTCTGCACTGTTTAGTTTTTTTAGATTATTAAGTTTGTGTGTGCATGTGCTTCTTCACGTGTTCTGTCCCCTGGCCTTGAATACTAGCAATGCAGTAATTTCATCCTATTTATTTGGTGCCTATTACACACTATTAGCAAAAAAACAACTATAAAGATTACTTTATTCTGTTTCGCATCTGTTTGTCTTCTGAATGTGGATGTGAAATGGAAATTTTATAAGGTCTCTTTGAATACTTAGTAAACTAAATCTCTTTTCAGAAATAACAATACGAGGACAATTTTTGGATGCTTAAAATATTCAGAAAAGTTGATGCATTTCTGTTTGTATTTTCAAAGAGAACATCGTCAGAATGACACAATATCCAGGACATACACTGCAATGAGTATTATGTTACCTTCAAAACATTAATTAAAAATGATCGCCTTTATGTTTTATAGAAGAGTTCCAACAAAGCTGAGATTAAAATGCTGAGCTCTTTAAAGCAGAAAAACATAATAAGTCATGTGCTGAAACTGGTAATTTTTATGATGACTGCTATTAATTTAATGTCGTATGACGGGTAGTAAAACATCCTACCACTTGACAAATGTATATAACCCACTTTACAAAGTCTTCTGCTTTCCTATCAATGAAGGAGACCACAGTTCTTGCTTGGCCTGATCTGAGAAAAGGCTGAATGACCCCAGGACATTCAGTACTGAGAACTGAACACAACATACCCGGCATTTAGGCCAGTGTTAATTCACATGCCTGAAGTTCAAGCATTAGTTAATGGCTTCTCTCCCTCTGAAGGCCTCTTTAATGTGATTGAAAAAGAGCTATTTAGGTGGGAAAGAATGTGAATATGCATTTCCATACTAATTACGTACTTCCTTCGTGCTCAAGGTATATAGTTACAGGACTGCTGCGTGAGCAGCTTTAACAGCAAATTAACGCTGCAGTCAGGAGGCCTATGATCTATGTTTAGTGTTGCAAGAATTGCCTTTCATTTTTTAGAGTGTCTCTTTTTAAAAATCTATGCATTCTTCTAAAAAAAAATAATAATAATTTACTTGAAGAAAGTTTGTAAGGAACAATAGCTGCATATAAAATACAACAAAAGCTGGCTCAAAGATATTTTCAGTTAAAAAGGCTTCACTGCAACTTGTTATGCTGCTTTTAAAACAGAAGAAATGTTAAGCACTGAAAAAGGTAGTGAAGTTTTCCCAATGGCTCAGTTGTTAGGAGGAGGAAAACATGTCCTTGCTTTTGCTGTGAAGGCGTAAGATTCTTTGTGAACACTGTCATTTTTTTCTGTGTGCTGTCATCTTCTGCTGTGCCTACGTGTATTTCAGTTGGAAAAAATAGTGTTAACCAGTGACAGACTGATTCATGGTAAAATGCTATTCAGATTAATCCTATTGCCTTGCTGTTTTCATACATGAGGTGAGAATAGAGAGTTAAAGCCTAGAAAATGGCCAGAGGAATTATGAATGTGCTGTAACCTACAGGAGAATGTAGAACAACAACCAGCACTTCTTCGATGCTAGCGTGCTTTTATATTATGCTAGTATCGTTAAGTGCGGTAAATGTTGCTTTAGAACTCACTCGTTAACTTAATAAGAAGTTGCAGATTAAGAAATTAAGCATGTTGTATCAGTCAGTGAGATTACTCTTAGAAACTGAATCCTTTGTGCATATTTTTGTGCTTTCTGATACAAACAGTAAGCAAGTTTCTGGAACCAGGGTACTAGATGGAGCACAGAAATTAAATGCAGTGCTGTATATTGCTTTTCTGTAGACACGGATGGATTAAAGAGTCTACGTGCTCCCTTAGCGCAGTTTTTCCTTCCATTATGTTGATTCAGCTGCCTGTGAAACTGTGTAAAGGGATCTTCTGATAAATAATTTTCTGGCAGTGCTGCTGAATTAGATGGTCACCTTCCCCCATTTAATTACTGGCTGCAGAAATGCTTCGCAGAGAGCACTTCAAGGGGAGAAAAAGACTGGTCTCGGCGGGTAGGGAAGAATGACAACTGCCCAGGCAGCACTTCTGAATGTTTAATTGCAGTCTGCCTTAGATCAGCAAGAGATCTCAGTTTAAGAAACCAAGTGTCTTCACACCTGCTCCCTCTCATGCCCCATCTCCCCAAGACTACAAAGGAGCTCAGCCTCAAATGCACTGGTCTGGCCTAGAGCACAACATCATAAGCAGATGAGTTCCTGATGCCAGAGGGAGCAGCTCACAAACTAGTTTTCCTGCCAGAAATATTAATAAAGCAGGTGTCATACAGACAGACTGGGACGTCTCTATTTTAAACTTGCCAAATCTTATGAGTTGATCATGTACCGAAATACCGTGAACGCTTATGTAAAATGCCAGCAGAAGGATTTACAATAGAACCTCGCCATTCATTTTAAACTGTTTCAATTTTGAGACCTTCTTTACATAACTAAAATCATCCCCGTATCATGAAAAAGTTCTTGCAGGGGAAACTTAGTTGCACAATGGAGCTTCAGAAGTCAGGACTGATATCAAAATAATCCCAGTCAAGCTATCTTTATATTCAAACTATGATTTTGGAGGACTTGATCAGTTTGGCAATACTATCACTGCTACCTTTTTTTTTATTTATAGGAATAAAAATAAGCCTTAGCTTCATTATATGGCATCTGAAGGCTTCTCAGTAGCACCTCATCTGTTGTTCATGTGTGATTTTAGTCTGAGTGAAACCATATAGGAATGATTCTGTTAAAACAACAACAAAAAAACCCTCAACACTTTTTTTTTTCTTTTTCTTGAACACAAGAAGCTAGCGCCTGCAGCTGATAATGTTTTACCTGTAAGTGTAGGTGGTGATAATATCTTCAGAGTGTCAGCTGAAAAGCTGATCTGTCTTACAATGAGCTTAAAACCATTATCAGCTTTGGTTCATCAGCAAGAGTATGTCAAGGATTCTGCAGAGGAAATTGGTTACACTGACTTAAGTTACACTGATCTGAAGTGCAGAAAGAAACCTGAAAAATCTCAGCTTTGATTTTACCCTCCACCAAAGCCAAATGTTGTGTTTTAAGAATCTCCTGTAGAGGACAGGGGAGGGATAATGCTCCCAGTAACTTTGTTACATATGACAATTTTCTGGATGTGATACGGAGTATCACATTAGTTAAGAATGACAAAATCATACATTGTTCATTGTGGTTAAGATTTTACTTTTCACACTGCTTTGATAGAAAAGGTTGTTTTAAGTGGCTTTTTTGTTTATTTGTCTGGTTTTTTCCTAGTGCTTGTCAATAATTAGATAAGTTTTGAATATTAGAACATCCCCCAAATTTATCTTTGCACCTGCTTATTTTTTTTCTCTTGAATTTTACTTTATAGGCCAAATTTAACTTGTTTTTGCCTCTTTTATTACCCTGCTGATATCTCTCATATTTTTGAATTGCTGGTTCTATGTCTCTGCTTTGCTGTCTGGATAAAACATTGACATTGTTGCCTAATTAATCGGAGTTGACTGTTATTCCAATTAATTCCTACATTAGCTCTAATGTAAATCTTTGCTAATTAGATTTTTTTTTTTCTTTTCCTTTCTGGACAGTTTTCCAGGGAAATTAGCAGGGGAGGGAATTGTCTGCTTTTTTTCCCTTTGTCTTAGAAACAGTATCTCATCAGCAATGGCAGATGGTGTATTTATCTCAATTAGTTTGTAAGGTACTTAAAATGCACAGCTTTAGAAGTGTAGTTTTAAAACATCTTTAAACATCTTATTATTTCCTCATCAATAAATACGTGTAATGAGTAAACATTTGTAATGACACCTGAGACTGCAAGTTTTTCCCATTCAAGTATCCAGAGCAGCATGTTCCAACTCCTCTTGTCTACCTTTTTTTTTCTAGTCAAGGTATAAAGGGCTGAACGTTTCTACTGCCGTCCACTGCAGTGAGTACTTTGCCACTGAGAATTTGCGATGCTTTTTCTTTTTCTTTCTTGCTTTCTTTTTCTTCTCTCTCTCCGGTTTTGCTCTGTTCCTGTGAGGCTTCTTTAAATTTGCTTTTGTCCTTGGACAATTCACAGTGATCAGACATATGAGAGAACTTTACTGCCGAGGCATTTGCTTAGGGTGTACAAGGTTAAACCTGGAGCGTCTGTTGGCCAACAGGTGGTGCAGGGACATCTACCGGACTGAAAAGGACGTAAGGAAACGGAGCTTATGGCCGCTCCAATCTAGCACCAGCGAGAAATCTCTCTCTGGGAAATACCATTAACCCATGTTTGGGTATCTGTCCTTAGGTCCTTGGAAATATGTCGTTCCTGCTCTGTATTGTATAGAAGTTCCGAGAAACTCTGCTGGCTACAAACGCAGTTACTCTTTCCAAGTAATTAGTACCAAGCTGTAAGCTGAAACTTGTAAATATTCTGGTTATAATTTGTTTTACAAGGCTGTTCAAAGTTCATGCTAATTACATTAGTCACATTTATAAAATAATGGGCATTAACATGCTGCTTTTCGTCTGCGGACTTGTGGAAAGCAAATATAAAGTAAAACTTGAACCTGCAACGTCTCCGTGCATGCGAAAGACTCTGAACGGTGACTAGCCCACTGACTTTTTAACGCTATGAAGAGCACAAACAGAACTGAAACTGTATTTACAGAAGCTATTTCACAAACGAATAGGTTAACAACCTGTTTTGTTGTTTTTTTTTTTTTCACTCAAACCTCAAAATTTCATTATAAATCAAATCTAGTAACATTTTAATGCTGGTGAGGCAGTTTTACTGTGAGAGATCACACAACACTATAGTGACAGTGTAAGAACTAAGGTTATTTTATGGTCACACTTGAAGATGCCTCCTGCTCTGAGCTTTGACACAACTGTCATTAGTATTGTCAGATCCAAGTTAATAATGTGACATTAAATCCTAACTCTATTTCAAAAGATTAAGCCACCACTGTAGCGTAAATATTCTTAACCAAGCTGTTCTGTTAAACTTGAAAAGAAATCACATACTTGTAATTAAAACTGAATAACACGGGGATTTTCAAATGCAGCAGTTAAATTAGGAATTGTACTTACCAACAACAAAAATTATGTTCGATTTCCTCAGATCTTCTGAAAAGTCTAAAATTGAAAAAAAATTCTTTAGTTCATAAGAGCTACTAATTTTAATCTTACCTATTTGCCACCCTAAATTGTATAATGCTCATAGGAGGTGATCTGATTTTACTAGATTTACTTTCTGCTATAATGCTCTGCATTCCAAGAGAAGGTATTATCCATAAGCCTATTTATCTCCCAATTTTGTAGTTCTCGCTGCAGATACGCTAAAATTATTTCACCTGAATATTAGGTCTTGCATGTACAAATCAGTTTTTTCTTTAAAAAGAGAAAAAAAAAAAAAAAAAAAAGGGGGGGGGGGGGGAGGAAAAGGAAAAAAAAAAGGCAGATGTATCTTGATGTAACGATGGGCTTCATAAGCATTTTTCTCTGAATATATTATTCCATTACAATTCCTATAGATGTTTGCCCACACCCTATTCAGATTTTTCTATTCAGTGCCCTATGTCTGAGATGTTGTTTTAAACTCCCCTGAGCCTCAAATTCAGCCAAATTATAACAATCTTAACTGAAATCCAGGTATGGCTGTCATTTTAGCACCAAAACTACTGTATGTACTACTGCTTTGCCTTTTATTGAAATTATATATTTTTTTTAAAAGCAGTTCTTTCTAGCCTGAGTCCCAGGCATTAACCTGATTATACAAGTACAGAAGGTGATCTTGCCCTAGCTGAGCCTGCTGGAATTGTATTATGTCTTTGACTTAATCACTTACGAATCACATTAATCTACTGCGTACAATTTTGTTTTTATTATGTGGTGTGTACATCTCCTATTAAATAATATCATTAGCCATAAAAGGTTTTGATTAATCCCTTCATTCCTCTTAGTATCTTAGCAGCTCATACTTTTCAACAAGCTTTTCAGAACTGTCCATTTCTGGAAACACAAATGAGATGCCAATTAACAGTAATATTTTCTAATAATTTTGGATCCTCTGGCCTAAAGAGTGTAGAAATGTCCTTCACGACTTTTAATTTGCATTTGAAGAGTATTTGCATGATAAAATCCTTTGGGACATAACTTTCACAACATTAAATAACCTGAATACACTTTACCTTCTCAGTAACTAAATACAAGGTGAAATCAAGGGTTTCAAAATGAAATGGCAAACGACACTGAAAAAGAAACTCACCTCCTGTGCTCTCATAACCAGAAAAACTTGACAGATCCTCCTCCTGTTAATTAAGCAATTGACAAACTGAAATGGATATTCTGCACAGTTTGCATTTGTTCCTCTATCTGCTTATCTGTTTCTCTTCACATCTTCTCCCCATTCTAACCTCTCAGTTTTAATCTATGTAGAGATAGGGTCACCAGTGTCACAGAAATGCTGTTCGTGTTGGTTCGGTTGGTAGAACGTGAGCATGGAGAACCCAAGACAGCCTGAGATGCTCAACTGGCCCACACTGGTTTTGTGAGGAACGGTGTCTGGCTGTGTGGTTACAGCACAATAATACGCATGCCAAATTGCTTCAGAAGTAAATATGGTATGATAAGTGTTAGTAGTGCAAAGATAATACTGGAGTAAGGTTTCTCCTGACGCTTGGCCACGTAGAATTTTTTTTGTTACGTAGTGTATAGTACGGTCAATGAGGGACTGCAAGTACTGGTCAGCGAGAGTGTCAGAGTGGGATTCTTTGTTGTTCTTATAAATCAGAGTTATAAATATGCTGGGCTTAGTCCAGATTATGCAGTGTCAATATACTCACACCATCCGTGCTTTAATCTAGGCTACAAAATAATCAATAATAGCATTGGCAATAAAACGCTTGTATTGCATCATCATCGTATCAGCACAGAATACACTATGCCAGTCCTCTCAGAACTGCATAGTAGTTTCTTAGAGTTCTGCTTCAGTGTGCTGACAGAAATAGCCATGGTTAGAAGTTTGTACAGCTGCATGCGTAGATGAAGTGAAATGAATAGCGCGGTGAACAGAGCGAGTAACCTGCTGGCCACTGTAATGGGCAAGGCTCTTGCACTACCCGTGCAGGTTTCTCCTTGTGTTCCCGTTACCACTGAAACAGAAGTACTCTTCATTAGGCTGAAGTACCATTACATTGGCTACATATAACCTTTTTTTTGATTCACAGTAATTCTCAAACCTATTACACTGCAGCAAGAGAGATGCCATTTAAAAAAACCAAACAACACAACCAAACAAAATTAATAAATCAACTGGATCTACTAAGTTTGCAGGAATTTCACAAACAATAAAAATCAAATAGGAGATTAATCTGTTCCCTACACTTCAAGCGACACTATTAACTCTACATGCTTTTTCTTTGATGTAAAAATACAATAAAATATTTGACCCTGGAAAGTGTATATTAAATACATAATGTCTGGGTTTAGCTTCAGCTTCTTATCATGCCTTTGAAGGCTTATGGATCGAAATAATTTTAGGTGCAAAGTTTAAAGTTCCTTTAAAAATCAAGATCAGTCATAGTTTGCAATCCAATGAAAGAGGCATTTCTTCTTTCAAGTGGTGCTTTTTGCTCTCCTCTGTAACTGCAGAATTAAACTGCCTCCATGATTGCTCAGAGCAGCAGGTGCTAATAAAGAACAGTTTAAGTCAGGAATGGCTCTAACTTTTTTAAGCTGAAATATGTAAAAACTAGAGACAGAACTGAGGCTAAATATCTATCAGCTGCTTTTATTTCACCAACTGTATCTGCTTTAACTAACCCAAAAGCCATGTTCACATAAGGAACACAAAAAGCCATTAAAGTGAATTCTAATTACAACTCAAAAGCAGGTAAACAGGAAATGTGACAGTGACGTTGACCAGAACACAGAACATCAAAATGACGAATTGTGTTTTTATCCGTAACTGCTCACTTTTCAAGTGCAGAAGTATTGTTTACAAAAGAATTGCTTTTTTTCCTCCACATTTTTTTTTTCTCCTCGAAGTGCATCTGTTTCATAATTCTACAAGTAAACTTGGCACACAGCTTGATGCAAGTGGGACCACTGGCCCAGCTGAACTTCCATGACAAAATAAGCTTCCCCACATTTCAGAGAATAAGTTACTCCATAAAAACATTTTTTCAGACAGCACCCAGCTGGAGCGGAATGAGGTCCCAAAAGTCTGGTGTCTAGGAGAGCTTTAAGAGAAGTTAGGAGGAACAAATAAAACAGCTTGACTACAATTCATTTGGCTTTGACATCAAGGCATTCCTATGCAGTTTTCACTACTCTGTACTTAAACTTGACTTGGAACCACTTCCCTTCGCCCCTTTCCTCCCCATCTCCTCAAAAGTACAACCATTTTTTCTGTGCATCTGGCTGAGGAGCGAGATTTGCTGTTCAGTTTGCAGTCCTGTGTAGAGAGCAGCAGAGACTGGCATCCTGGTTACCGCCAGTCCCCTCATGGTTACACTGGACAAATACCTACTTCTGCTGGTGTCTTGCTAGCCATCAGGGCTCTAAATTGTCAATGGCTTAACCCGTTGGCCTGAAAGCACCGTTCTGCCTGGCTACCAAAGGGCTTTGAAAACTGGGTTTTATCAAGTGATTGCATAAGGACAAGTCCCACCAAATACTAGACTGCTCCAAACTGTCATTTGGAATGCAGTGATTTAGCAGCAGAACAGCCTCTCTATTCTCGATATAGTTGCTTCCATTTAGTTGAAAGCAAAGTGAGGAAGATGATTATAATCTTTGTAATGAGCTCTCAAGAAAGGTGGGTAGTCTATAATTTCTGATGTCTTTCAAGCCAGGATCTATCTACAAATACTATCTGGAAACATCTCCATTAGTGGGGCATAGATAGCCATGCAACTGCTTAAATAATATCAACAGTATATTAAAGTTACTGCTAAATAGATAAGCAATTCTTTATAAGTTTATAACTTATCTGATATTTGCTTTTAGAGCTGGAAAATGAGTGTATTCTGACTTCTTTTTATTTAGCTTATTTTTAGTAAATATCTGACTAGCAGTAAGTGCTTCATAGGTTAATGAGTTTAAGCTGATGCCTGTCATTGCTAGGTTGTAAAGTAATTTCCGCAATGTAAAAACATGACAGTAAATTATAGCAAATAATAAGGAAGTGATATAGAATTCACCAGATCTTTGACTTTGGCTATTAATGAATTAGGACTCTGAAGTCGTATCACTTGAAAGAAAGCAATAAAATATATTTAATTTTTTTTTATCTGCTGATGGGACATTTTCTTCATTAGGATTTAAAAACAACTCAAGGAATATGTCAGGCACAAATTATTTAAACAAATAAAAAACATGTTTCTCTGTCTAAAAATATTTGCTGAGAATTTAATTTAATGTGTAAGCAAAAAAAATAAAACTGCTTAGACAAACAACAATAGAAAGTACAGGCAAGAACTGACTATGTGGTTTTATCCTGGTGTTCTCAACAGCATCCCCTTGATGGGAATGTAGGTATATAACCAGCCATTTCTCAGCACACTGTAGTTATGTAATTCTCCCTTTGCTGTTGTTAGGTATGCAAAACTCTTGTACTCTTGTAGCATTTTATTTCTTGAAAGAATACTACAGTTCCACATAAAGCTTCCTTGTCCTTCCAATGGGAAGAGAGGCAAAGGCAGTATTTCGATTTTAGCACAGATATTGGGTGACTTCTCAACGTAAACACAGTTACATATGGAAGCAGAACTAAGTTTAGGATTTTGATTTCCACTTTCACCTCTTTAGCCCGTAGTATCTTTACTTTGGAATCTTAGTTCTTAGCAAAGTAGTGTTAAGTGAAATCTGAAATGTTTGCTTATGATGCTTCTACATCTAGTACCCTTACAGTCAACCTTAGCTCTCAATTAAATAAACACTCTCACTAATTAAGAATAGTTTAGGGAATCAGCAAGCAGCATGAGATGTCTGGGCACCATCTGGATACAAAATTTGTTTCCTCCAGCACAGCCCGGTCTGCCACAATCTGTGTGGTTTTAGTTTGATATATGTGCAACTGGATTTAACAGGCATATACCTAATCACAGAGGATGGTCTCTCAGATTAGATGTTTGCAGCCTCTACTTATAAAAATGTAGTGGTGTCCTTGCATATATGGGGAAATGTAAAGACCCTGAGCAAGCTTTAGCTAGGCAAAGCTGTGCATCAGAAGAGACTGTGCCTAGTCAGAGCTCAGCTATGGAATTTGTCTTCTAAATTCCAATTTTCTTCCCGTAAGAAGGAACGTTTGGGTTTTATGAGATATACTGAGTTAGCTGCAGGTTTTATGTATGGGCAGTGGTCCCTGGGAATGGATTTTAAGAGCCATACAGTTGCCTGCTGGAAAGCAGGGGTGGCTGTGCTCTGACTTCCTCTGGTCCAGAACTAATAAATACATGTAAATAAGATAAAATACAGTATGAATACATTCAGACTATGAATACATTCACACTACAAAGCTTTTCTTTCTTTTTCCTCTCCAAAATGCCTATCTTCTTATCCAGTTCACACTGCTCAGCAGAGTAGAGTTATTTGTGTCAAAAGGGACTAGTAATTAGATCAGAGAACAGTCCTAATGTTATCTGAGGTGATTTTTGTTTGTTTGGAGTACATACAACTAGAAAGCGCAAAAAAACCCACCCAGTACTTGTAACAGCAGCTGCAAAATGCTGACAGATACAGAGGCAAAGATTAAGTCATTTTTAACATTTGTAAATCAATCTGGAGTTATCCGGCTTTTACAGATATGCAAGATTTTTTCCAGATTTTTCATTCTTGTTCTTTGACAACATGAAGAATACCTATCAGTAGTTTAGAGGGGGGAAAAAACCCACAATCTATTTGCTATAGTGTGTTAGGGTTGAGTTTGTTAACTTGTGTTTGGTTTTTTTAATCACAAAAAACACGTGTGATTATTAAACATGAAAAAGAAAGCAAAATTTATTTAGGTTCACAATCACTCCCACACACTGGAAAAATGGGAAAAAATTCAAATTAACTTTTAAGGGCAAACTTACTGACCAAGGCATGCAGTAAGAATACCTCTCCCCACAGGGTAGGAGCATGATCAGAACAGTATAAGAATGCTCTGGTAAAATAAACACTTAATTTGCAATTTTATATTAGTTTAGAAGGCTGAACTAGAGGGGACAGCTTTATAACTCACTTGAAGAACTGTGGCTTGATTTTTAAATATCTGTCTTTTGAAGACACTTGAAACACTCGACACCCATATTATCTATGCATAGTTATTAGTCATTTTAAAATACTTCTGTTACATATACTGTATTGTTACTTTTCACTAGATCTGTAAAGAAAGTTCCCTGTGCATTCAAAATTGTTCCCAGAGGTTATCACTATTTTAGCATTCTTTCCTGTAAATCACCATCTCTTCCCTATGTGAAGCATTTATGCCGCTTGGTATAAATTCTCCCAGGGGCTTTTTGTTCCATCAAGCCACTGCAGCAGAGAAGAGCAGCAGGAGACCTTCCAGCGCGTTTGAACCACAAACCCGGCGCTGCTCAGCTCCTTTTCTTAGACCGCTAATGACAATCCTCGTGAATGCGTCCCTCAGATCACACACCACTGGCCCGACAGGCAGAGTCTCTCAGCTCTGAATGGCTACGTTGCCTTCCAAGAGCTGGAGTTCAGAGGTTTTGGTTTATTTTGGTTCATTCGTGGCTTTTTTTTTTTTTTTTTTTAAACTATAGATGAAAAAGGCTTTTCTGCAAGCCAGTCTCAATTTTCAAAAAGAAAGAGATCTTGGCATCGAGGACAAGAACAGAGTATTGGGAAAATAAGACCAGTGTGTGGCCTCGGAGCCTACGATCTGCTGCTATTGAGATAAAAGTTGACATCTCTGCTTAAATTTTACCTCTCAAAGAACTTCTTAGTTTTGCCCAAACATATTCTAGGTTTACTGAATCACCTATTTATGTTTTATAACTTTCAGTGAGGAACTCTAAAAGTCTCTGTGAAGAACTTCTCTATTCAGAAGGAATTTAACTATGAGAAGAAACGGTCCACTGATCTCATCAGATGCACTACTGTAAAGAATTCTAAAACTAGGTCACTTCTCACTCCTTATGATTTAAGCCCAAATTGACTGAAGTTGTCTGCACAATCACAGGATACTTAAGTAGTAAAAAGACACCAAACAGGAAACATATGGTTCTCTGAAAATAGATAGAGGAATTTTTTAGTGTTTCCAATCTACTCAGAGAAGCCATTCTTCTCTTTAACTAAATTATTTGTGTTTAAGCAGAAATTTTGTATTCCATATAGCAAGCTTGCAATCACTGCGATTTAATATGTAAATGTAAAAATCCATAGTATGTATTTTGACAGTGATTAAGAAATACTAATGTGTTCTATAAAAAGCTGTTTCTTCTTCAGTGCTTTCAAATATATAAGTTGGTGCTACAAATACTTTTAAGAGTGGGCTTTGGTAGCTGTCTTTAGGGATGCTGGGCTGTATGAACAGAACAAACCTGCAGTCCTGAGTAAGGTATCTAAATCTGGGAGGGTGGGATTTAAAATGCACCTTCACATTTCTTTATCAGCTTCAGGTGCAATACGAAATGTTCCGATGTGAATCCTGTTTGTACCAACTGTGTGAGATGCCTGATATTTCCAAGTATTATGCAGGTTCTCTGGGCTGTAAAAGTAAACAGGGAAAATGCAGAACTTGTCAATTTAGCTGTAAAATAGTTTGTGCATGAAAGCATAAGGCCTCACTTTGCCAGCAGAGGGGCAAGCTGGTGTGAGGAAACGAGGTACACCACCCTAGTGCTATTGCCTAGGAAAATGAGGGTGAGGTACTGTAAAGCATAATGCTTTTTTCTACAGACACCTACCACAAGTCACACAGAAGAGCATCCTAAGTTATCGTGGAAGTGTTAGGGAAGCATAGACGCAGCACATCTTGAAGAATGATGCTGTCGTTGTTGTTTAAATCTCCAGTAACTCACATGAGCTCACCATCCTTGTAATCAAGTCCTGTCCTGTACTGCCTACCCGAGCTGCAGGCAGCCACTTTTGGTTCAAAATCAGAAAAGAAATTAGGATGCAAAGACATCAACTAACCTTGGCAGTTCTGTCCCCCCTCATATATGTATCACTAGAAAGTAAATCCAAATAACGTCTGTGAAAGGACGAGCAAACAATTGCTTCTGGCATTCCAAAGAAAAAAATGCAGATTGATTCTACAGCAATTTTTCTTACCCATTTTGCCATGGCCTGCACAGGCAATTATAGAGCAGTAGGCTTGCTTCTGCATGCCTTTACTACTGTGTGCAGTAGTGGTTTTGAAAGAGAAAAATAATTCTTCAAGCTTACAAAATTATATGCAAGAACCAAAATACGCTCAGTTTGAGCTTATTCAGGAAGCACTTTGTAACAGGCGAACTGTAGTACTTTGTTTCTAGAACTGATTTTTTTTTTTCCCAAGCATTTAATAGGATAGTTTCCATGGCAACTTGAACCGAACAGATTGTTCATTGACTTCAGTATGTTTCTATTAAACATCTTTTCTCTGTCGTTAGGCCTGCCTCTCCAGCTCTTTCATCTCTTTGGATACTCATTCATTATCTCTTTTTGCAGATACCCTTAAATTACATTGGACTCCACCTTTCTGTGCTCTTTAACAAACGTTGAGGGAAGAGTGTCTCGCAATCCTTTTCTGAATTTCCTAGAGTCCATTTTCTTCTCCATTGCGTACTCCTGTTTTAACCAGCTTCCCTGTAGAACCAGAATCCGTAATTCAAATTGGTACCACTGCCTTTTGGTGGACACCGCAGAAATGTTCAGCATCAGAAGCCCACAGAGATTCTGGATACTCTTAGTTGTTTAACTAAGACCTGTAAGGACTCATGCTGCACAGCATATATGGATAAAGGTGCTGCTTTAGAAAGGCAGCTTTAGAAGTCCCAATGAAAATTTCTCCTGTTAATGGAGATGTGCAGCTTGCTCTTTGTCATATTGGAGTGTCGGCCCCTAGAGTACTGTGTCTGAAGGGTTAAATAAATTCCTTGCATTGAATCTTTGATGTAGAGAAAATGGAGTCAAAACATAGTGACAACTGATATGAAACACAGTAAATGGAGGAAAATGGTCTTCCGTTTAATCCACAGAGATGTAGTTGAATGAGGTTTTCAACTTGCTGTTGCCCAGTAGTTTAGGAATGTTTGTGTTCTGCTTCTGCGTTGAAAAGACTTTCATGGCCTTTTCATTGTCTCTCTTCAATTTGTAAGTTTTGAGCTATGATAATCAGGCTGAAATGTTGTCATATTCTTGGTAGCAATTCAGTCTGGTTTTCATTAATTCTCTCAAAGCTTTCTTCCTGCTCCCCTAAAGCCTAGATTGTGTGTGCTCTGGGTGGGAAATGACAGCAAGCTGTAAGAAGAATTGTCATTAAATGGCAACAACTTTTAATCAAGAGCTTGTTTCCTCTTGTTAGAATGAGAGTAAGTCTGTTTGAAGGCTTTTTTTCCTCCACTTCATTTTGGTTTTGCTTGCTGCTTTTCAAGTGAGCTGTCACATTTTCTAATTATAAAACATTCTGCACTTGCAATAAAGACTGGGTTATGTGATTTTCTTAATTCAATAGATTGCTCATCACTGCTGAACAGAAAACCTTTTATTATCTTTCAGTCTTTTTTACATCTACTTTTCCTAGGTCTTTGCCACATGGGGAAAAAAAAAAAGGCAATCTCTCCTTTGCATGTGCCATTGCCTTTCCTAATTGCATATGTAAATGCAGTTTGAAACTGGAAGACCATAGAAAAGTCTCAGTTATGAACTGGTAACATCCTTTGAGGCATAAAAATATACTTCCATGTTTTCCAAAAGTGAAATCTATATCTCTCTTTACCTACCCCTCAATCCAAATAGTATAACAGGCTAATTATATTTTTAAGATTTTTCTTTTTTTCTTTTTTACTTGAAGTTTACCAAATTTTCACGTTTCCCAAATTCTAAAGTTACCAATTCTATAAGCACTTGTTCAGGAGTATATTCACTCCACAGTCTTCTGATTGTATGTTTAAACTTTTCCTCTAATTAGTTTAAATATTCCTCAGACTACCTAGAGTTGTCTTGAAAGCCTTGTTTTCCCAAGAAAATAATTAGATGCTCTTTTCTTCTGGAACTCTGATAGGATTCACCGAAGTCACTTTTTCAATACTCCCTTTTGGCATGAATGCACTTGAAATAAGCCAAATGGTTGGTTTCTAATTAAAAATCCAATTCCAGAGATCGCACAAGTTTTACTATTAAGAAATACGTGGCATTATATTGACAGCCTCTCTGGCAAAGCTGAGAAACTGAATGGCAAGTATAAATGAACACAGTGAGCACTGAAAACCCGTATCACACTTGAGAGCATTCCAGCAGCAAAAGACAGTCCTTGTTAAACCAGATTCTAGTCACCACAGCAAGTTCTGCAAATTGAGAATTTTCTATGAAGCACGGGTATTTCCTCGTTAGAAGCTGTTGCTCCCCAAAATGAGTGGTTCAAAATATATTCCTGATTTCTCAACGTGGGTGAAAATGTCTTGAAACTTGTCACTTTATTGTGCATTTATGTTTTTCAATCAAGTCATGAGTAGCGTAATCATTACTCCAGAAAAGGCTACAAAGATTGCTACCCCGTGAAACTTTGACTAGTTCTTCCGTAAGACATTTTCTGCTTTTATTTTTATTTTTTTGAATATGTTTTCTGCAGTCATTCTAAAATCCTAGATCCCTTCTGTAATACAGGATCCGACAACTAAGGAAAGTACAGAAAAATAGTTATTAGTGATTTGCAGAAAAAAAAAATGTTTAGTTATTTTTTCGTTTCGTGATTTTGTTTGTTTGGGGGAATTTTGGTTTGTTTGTTGTTGTTTTTTATAAATTGGGTATTTCCCTCCTGCCTTTCAGTGCTGTAGGGACTTTGTGATTACAAGTGTTCTAGTTCTTGAAGAATTCATGCACAGCTGGTAGAAAATAATCAGCTTGCTTTTAACTTAGTTACACGAATTGAACTGAACGTTCATTTATAAAATGTACAATACACAGCTCAAGTTTTTTCTGAGTTATTTTTAAATTCAGTTTCCCCCTAGAGAAAAGCCAGATCTTAACCTGTATTAGTGCTTTGCACTTCAGCAAGAGGTACCAAGTGTTTCTTGAAGCACTTTGCTGTATTTTGGAGCACTCCTACATGAGCTGATGACTACATCAGTAGTTGGAACCACACCAGTCATTCTC